TTGCTGTCCTCCGCTCTTTACAACAGTGGCGTCCTAGGTTCGGGCGAGGGCATGTGTGGAGCTGTGGCCGTGTATGTGTATGTGTTGCTATTTTGTTTGAGTCATCTAGCTGCTGACACGATGACTGTTGGATCTTGGGAGTGTACGATTATCACTTAAATAGGGAGATGCAGCCACGATATCCTGGCTTCGGCTGGGCTTGAAATAACCCTTTTGCTGTCTCCGCTCTTTGCATCAGTGGCTTCCTAGGTTCGGACGAGGGCATGTGTGGAGCTATGGCCGTGTATGTGTTGCTATTTTGTTTGAGTAATCTAGCTGCTGACACGATGACTGTTGGATCTTGGGAGTGTACGATTATCAAATTGGGAGATGCAGCATACCACGATATCCTGGCTTCGGCTGGGCTTGAAATAACCCTTTTGCTGTCCTCCGCTCATTGCATCAGTGGCTTCCTAGGTTCGAGCGAGGGCATTTGTGTAGCTGAGATGTGTGTCTACGTGAAAGAACATGTGGAGAGAGTTGTATTGGCATTCGCATCAAGCGCATTGCGCATTTTTCAAATTTTGGCCCCCTTCCAGGGACCTTGATTTTTACCCGCCGGTTAGCGCGGTCGATGCTATTAATAAAAACACACACGGACATCAATTTGAGAACAGTAATTAATTCAGGGNGTTTTTTTGCGAAAAAAAACTCCGCTATCGCTCCGTTTTTTTTTTCGCACGCGCGCTTCGCGCGCGGAAAAAACTCNCCAGGCGGGGAAACAAAAAGGACCCATCCAAAACAGTTTTTTTGCGAAAAAAAACTCCGCTATCGCTCCGTTTTTTTTTTCGCACGCGCGCTTCGCGCGCGGAAACAGTTTTTTTGCGAAAAAAAAAACTCCGCTATCGCTCCGTTTTCTTTATCGCACGCGCGCTTCGCGCGCGGAAAAAAACCCTAAAAAATGAAGACCCTCTTTGTGCGGACCGCGAGCCGACTGTCGGGGCAGTCTTTCACGTCGAGGCACACCCACACTGGGTTGCCGGGTTCCAACGCAGTCTTGGGCTTGGAGGGGGGTTTGGAACTCTCGACTGGTTTGCGTTTCAGAGGCGAAGCCTTCGATAGCGCACTCATGTCTACTCGGAGGGTAGCGGCTGCTGTGTTGAAGTGTGCGCGTGTGAGCGTGGCGCGGGTGTGGTTAGGAGACTAAAACGAATCCTTACTTCCAGAAGTTTGGGCGAAGTTTTGACCCAACTAAAGATCCAGAACCCACAGCAGCAGAGAGGGCTACACGCTCCCGGCTTCGTTGAGCGGCTTCGTTGAGCTGCTCTGGTGTGGTTGTGTATATGCGTGTATGCTGCTGCTGCAAGCTGCTTGTGTGCTTGTGTGGGCAGCAGCTGTGAGGAGCCGAGGGAGCCACCCGAAGGTGACAGTCTCACACCTCTACAGTGGGGTCAGCCCACTATAAAGGGGCCGGTCTCTATAGATGAGGGTAGCCCTCTATTATAGCGGGTCGCGCCCATGCCAACCGATTTTGACCCGCTTATAACGGAACCCCCTCTTACTCGGTGCCCTGTTATATCGGAACACTGCTGTTCTGTGTGGCCGCCTGAGGGTCAGATCCCACGTGAATATCCACATCTTCACCCGATCCTATTCATGAACAACACATAGCTGCCGTATCTGGAGCGGCGTGCTTTTGGGGTCCCTTCGCCGGTTCACATTTTCTCAAAAAACGTGCCAACAAAGCCCTCCGAGCTTCCGGGACCGCGTTGTTCCAGTCTCTGTTCAGACGCTGATCCATCGTCTGCAAAACATTTATGGCATATGCATATGAAATGTTTGGTTGGATCCCGTCTCTTGCCTGCACCCCGCGTCCGGATAGCAGCGTACGATTTGGTTCTGGAAGCGTACATTGTACAAATCACGGCAGGCGCGTACGTACCTGTTCTTTGAGCCCGGCGTGTTTTGTGCCGCCTCACAGGTTGAATCAGTTGAACGCACCGGTGGTCCGAAGAACTTTTCTAACGACCAGTCGAAGAGAAAGCCAATCAGAGCGCCCAAAGAGGACTCATCTTAACGTGTCAGGTTACCTGCCACGCAGAGGGCGCATCTAGACCTCGAGCAATACACGTACTTTTGCCTTTGCCAAGTTCAAGGAGACACGTGTGCATGGCAGTACCGGCGACAGGCGAAGGACGCAAAGATCAGATGGACGCCCCCGCGAAGCGAACAGAGCAGCCGGGCCCGTCTTCGCCGAATGGCGGTAGGGTGGCATCATCAGCAGACTCGAATTTCGCGTTCCCCAGCTACGNGCCTGGTTCGCCCGCGAGGGACTCACAAGGTCGATTTCGGCCCCGGCCGGGGAGCAGGCCGGGGAGGGAGGAGGTGGTGAGGAGACACGAATCTTTACTTCCAGAAGTTTGGGCGAAGCTTTGACCCAACTAAAGATCCAGAACCCACAGCAGCAGAGAGGGCTATACGCTCCCAGCTTCGTTGAGCGGCTTCGTAAAGCTTGCTCAGAAACTGTGATCGACCTACTACGTGAAAACTGCGCTTGCTACAAACCGCACTAGAGGTGAATAGACGGTAGTACGTGCTGGCTATTGAGGGTGTTTGTGTTTTTTCTCTGCCTGCTGGCAACACACCAACCTAAATACCAAAACCCCGCAAAACGGGGCTGTCACCTTTTTGCGAACGGAAGACGAAAGACAGACGTCGGTTCTGCGGGTTTCAGCGCGCTTTCACGACACTGGTTCCGAACTCAGCGGGCACAATCGGGACCGCGCGAAATGAGTCATTCTGTTCGCAAGGCTACCAGGTGCCACCGTGCGAAGGCGCGAGTCTCGCCGTGCGTCTGGGCGCGCGCTATTCGGGCGCGAAGTTACCTACTGTTTTCAGAGAGGGTCGAATCGCCCCGCTGCGCTGTGAGCGACCCAGTCCTGAAGATCCCGATTCCCGTAGTATTGATTACCTAAATTACCGCCGGCGTGCCAGGGTGTACTCTCCGGGGTGCACATATACATCCGAATGATGTGAGTCCGTGTTTCTACCCCGATATGNTCGGGCGCGAAGTTACCTACTGTTTTCAGAGAGGGTCGAATCGCCCCGCTGCGCTGTGAGCGACCCAGTCCTGAAGATCCCGATTCCCGTAGTATTGATTACCTAAATTACCGCCGGCGTGCCAGGGTGTACTCTCCGGGGTGCACATATACATCCGAATGATGTGAGTCCGTGTTTCTACCCCGATATGCATATTCCATTCGCCATGCGGTAGGGCATGAACGTCTACAAATTCTAGTAGAAGTGCGTCTTGCTCTCGCACCGCAAGAAAAAAAACACGTACTGCTGTAGACTACTTTCGGTATGAGCGATTTCAGAACTATGTATGTTGGACAAAGAATGAGCAGATGTTCGAATTCCTACTTTGTTTTGTAGGAAAGGAGCGTCCCGCCCGCCAGACGGTGTCGCCGTTTCTTTTCGAGGGGAATTGGGTGGACCCAAAGCCAACGGTACCAAGATGCAAAGTACCTAGTTTTTATTATGTGTACTGCCAAACGAAAACCAAAAACCAACTCGAAGCAATAAATTAAAACAAAACACACATGTAGTCTGTTTTGAAAAATGCACACAAATACTACAGCAGTGCCGGAATACATCTGCCCAGAGGTTTGATGGGCACCATGTACACCGGACACAACAACTATTCCGAACAGGGACGTCAGGTTTAGTGCCGATATATAGGTCTCGGCGGTATAATCTCGACTATCGCCACCTGCTTTAACCTCATCATCCTGCTTCGAAAGAATTGTTGAGACACAGGGTGAGCAACTAAAACAATAAAACGATGCCTGTGATCCCAGGTCTTTGGCTCAGAAGGGTCGCTCGAGGGATTGTTGCCCAACATAGGTCACAAACCGCATCCTAAAAACCATCCTAACCCCTGCCAATGGCCGAGTTGGGCTCAGCCAAGGTAAGGCGTTCAATCGGGCTCACCATGTGCTCGGATGGCCTGTGAGGTGTGCAGGACAGAGTGGATGGTAGGCCTCGAACCAGTCCTTCCCATGACCTTGGAATAGAAGCCGACCTGGACAGGGCGGAAGAAGAAACACAATTCAACACGCAGAGTGGTATAAGAACAAAATATCATTCGAAGATATTAGCTTAACTTGATATTTGGCAACGTTCAAGAAATATTAAATGTGAAAAGCCGTGTTCTTGGGTGAAAGGAGTTCGGGCGTTTCAAAATGTAGACGGGCGAAGAAAAAAGCAAAAAAATAACCCGGGTTGCAGCGTCATTAGAGCTGTGTCTCATTCGTCTATTGGGCCTCCCTCGGACACGCAAAAAAACACACTTGCCCGTGGGCCTATCGCTGGAACGCACGATGCCTGGCCTTCCTAACGGCTGCGACGACGGCGAATAGTAGCAACAGCGGTAGCAGAAGTGGCACCATATAAAACACGTCGCGGGAATGCGTCGATTTGCAGGTCGCGGAAGAAGGATCAATTGGCGGCTACCCAAAAGCAAGACGAATAAAGCAAGCGCCGAGGTGTTTTTCGCTGGTAGGGGTGACAACAAACGCGATCACCCGGGTGCGTTTTGAGGCGCTTTCGTGCATCGCCGTTTTTTTTTTAGGGTTCGTGTGAGAGCGGTGCCATGGGCACCGGCATGTTATTAGGAACACGCTTTCCAACGATATTGGATCGCAGAGCATGGCAATCTTTCCTATAGGTGTGTGCACCCCCAAACAAAACAAAGCCCAATGCAGGATGGGATAAAAGGAGACCGCAGTGACGCAAGCACCCCAATCTATTGTATGCCGCTCAAAACCATGCACACCAATGCCCGTCACAGGAATAATAGAGGTCAGAAAGACTTACCACGTCACGCGCGAGAAGGTCGAGTTGGGCTAGCTCCAGATCGTNCACAGGAATAGTAGAGGTCAGAAAGACATACCACGTCACGCGCGAGAAGGTCGAGTTGGGCTAGCTCCAGATCGTTGTGAGAAGGCGCACGCACAGCGCATGACAGGTGTAACGCCACCTGTATCAGCTTCTGAAGCACCTCGAGCACCTTCTCGTCTGTCCCCCGAATGTCTTTCAATTCGGCGATGTCCTGCCTCTTCGTGTACTTCTTCTGCGAGGGTGCAAGTTTTGTCGACAAATCGCCACAGGAATGGGTTCGGAGGGGGGGTTAATCCGGATATTGTACGTCGCTTCGAGAATAGGGCGGAGAGGTACCGGGTTGCACATGTCGCCCCGTGCTTGCAGCGTGCCAGCAGAGGACTGTGGGTGCCGTGCCTCAAGCTTCACCAATGCCGCGGAATGGGGNATGTCCCTCAAATGTCTTTCAATTCGGCGATGTCCTGCCTCTTCATGTACTTCTTCTGCGAGGGTGCAAGTTTTGTCGACAAATCGCCACAGGAATGGGTTCGGAGGGGGGGTTAATCCGGATATTGTACGTCGCTTCGAGAATAGGGCGGAGAGGTACCGGGTTGCACATGTCGCCCCGTGCTTGCAGGGTGCACGCAGAGGAGGACTGTGGGTGCCGTGCCTCAAGCTTCACCAATGCCGCGGAATGGGGGGGGCGGCGTCCCCCTGTCTCGCACGCTCTAGTTGTTACTGCTAGACTATTAATTGACCACGGGTACTCGGGAGGACCGATCACCGATGGCGAATCGTTCCTGCTTACTTGCCGAATGCGGTTCACACTCCCATCAACATCACTTCCCGCCTTGTCAGCCCCATTCCTGTGCCCCAGCATAGCTACCGTCTCTCGTGCTAAATTCCATGCCTCAAACATGTCTCTGTACCTTTCTCCTATTTCGTCCAGCCCAGCCATGTACATTTATCTGTATCTTTTTCGTAAGACGGACCATCAGCAACTATCATGTAGTATACGTACGATCAACACAGAGCAGAGGTCTCCTCCCCCCTCCGGGCGCTAATGTGAAAAACCTCACCATGGCTCCGACATTTGCAAGAATCGGTCGGAAGGCGAGCAGCATGATGGACTGCAGTGTCCACTAGTCGCTCCCAGTGAGAGACGAGTAGTTGGACACGATATCCTTGAGACGCTCCGTGCCAGCTGGGGATAGCAGAGAAGGGTTCTGAGCCACGACCGCCGAGACCAGCCCTCGACCCTGAGTTAACATCTCGAGGCAGGAAACTTGGCACAGCCGGCAGGACCCCTGCAAAACACAAATATCGCATACGGTTCGTGCGTTGTATTTATCGTTTGAAAGAGACACGATCAACCGTGTCGCCATTGGAGGCCCAACTACTCGAGGAAGACACGACACAACGCCCTAACAACAAACACCCGGAGATTCCTAAATCAATCGCGAACGGACATTGGGGTGTTTAAACGAGGTTACCTATTTCCGGCACGGCAAACATTGCGCTACCCTTGTCCGTTCCGCATTCGACATTAAACTCTCGAAGTGCAGGCGCTCCACAGGGACAACCGCGGTGGGGGGGGTGAGCATTGAGTCGTACATGGGCAGGGAGGGGCCGTTGGAGTCTGTGACAAGCCTCAGTACCATCGACTGTCGAGACTGCTCGACGGGGTTGTCTGCGAGGGACTTTAGCGTATCAAACCCGGCCGTGATCTTGCCCCAGATACGTCGATTTGCTTCGATGTCGTACTGGGCATCTCCCAGGCCCCCCCCCGGTAATGTTGTCGCGTTGCTCAACCATGCAGTACGCACACGGGAACCTCGAGAAGTTGTTGCATGCTTTGGAGCCGAACACTTTAGCCCAACCTGGCCCGTCAGGAGCAGACCCCCCCGCACACCACCTGTCGTGAAGGTAGGGCGTTAGTGTGAACGCCAGGCATTCGTGGACTGCGACAAATAAATTCGACGGAAGCCCTTGTAAACCACCCAGTCATACTTCGCACGCCATGACCCATCGGCATCAAAACAAATGTTGATCATCCATCGGGGCGAAAAAAATGTTTTTGGGTAAAGCAACGGTCCGGAATGTTTCGGAAGCAGCGGGTATGGATCCTCCACAGGAAGGAAGCTCGATTACTGTTAAATGATACTTGATGTTCCGGTCAAATCGTCTGCTACCTGCGACCACACCTCCTCAGACAGCAACTAGAAAGGGCCGGCGAAGCACACCCAGCAACACGACGTGACGATGGCGTCTGTCTGCCTCCTTCGTCTCTCACCGGAGTCGAGGGTCCTTATTTGGAAAAACTAACAACACATAACAATACCCACGAGAGCCAGGCATTCCCAAGCAACAGCGTTCGCAGGAAACGCAAAACGCATCTGCGCATCAAGAGGAACACGTTTGACTCCTGGGCAACACCCACGCGTTCCCGTACACCCCGAGCAATGTTGTTGTTGTTGTTGTCTTCACATTAAAAACCATCCCGGTCTCTCTATCCAGTACCTCCTTCTGTCTCAATCTCTCCGTACTAATCCAGCACTTGACTCGGTCAATTTCCGTGGTCACAGGCTAACCTACCTAGAAAAGGTATACCAAAATAAAATGGACCCCAAGGGTTAGCAGAGCGATAAAATACAAGAAAACAAAAGTATCAGAAACAAATGAATAAATAAATAGTGGAACGTGCGCACCACCAGCCTGGGGGGTAGCCTTCCGGAAGGACCCCAAGGGTCAACAGTACGTGCCAGTAAACAAACAAAACAAAAACGAAATAAACCAAAGACAGACGAGGACATGAACAAACTCGCACAGAGACAGGGATATCCGTAGAGACAGTCTGAACCCGACAGCAAACGGGGGAGAGGGCAACAGAAAAACTAGTCGCTGAAATTCAACCGCAACATGTCACGTCACGCGGTCGGTCTCTTCTCGCTTGCTTTCTTCCCGCGCCGTTTCCTCCCGCCCCCCTCCCGCCCCGTTGATTGGTGCCGTATCTAGACTATTTTTGGGCCCGCTGTCTCCTCGTTTGATGGCTCGTTGTCGGCTGGCCTTCTCCTCGCCCTTGTGCCAAGAGGCCATAAACCTCTCAGCTCGCTGCAATGGAGAGCCCCATTACAAGTAGCGGGTTGCAGCAGTAGGATGTTCGCGGCAAACACGTCGCTAGCGTGCATCACACATACTGGCGCATCACCGGAAAAACCCATATGAGAAAAAAGGGCAATACTCCCCGTATATGACCTCAGGGAGACATCTGTCTGCGGTTTATGCGGAAACCGGTACTACACCAACCATGACAATCGGCAACATCCTCTAGCGTCGTTCCCGCGAGCAAGTCACCAACTCTCGACTGGGAACCTCGTGGGTCATTCTTGTATTGGGGTGGGGGTTGGGGCGGTACTCTTGCAGGGGATATAATGGCAACACAAGGTAGATGTTCGGCACAAGATGATGTTCGGCACAAGATGCCAAACAAGAGGTTTTAGGGTACGGCATCAATTATCCACGAACACTAAACCGTGGAAGAGCTGTGCGAACACACATGTGTAGGAAACCGATAGCGGGGAGCGTCTAAAAAATTACGAGTAACGGCGGTGCTCCGTCTCGCACGGGATGTAAATCAAAGGTCACCGATTGAAAAAAAGGCACTTAGCTTGGTATTACCCCCCCCC